ATATGGTCAGTGATTGATGTGTCACATCCATTTGGTGGTTAGCGATTTGTATTACTCTTTCAGGAGTGATCGTTTCTAAGTCTAGTCCGAGGGTTGATAGTGCTAGTTGGTTACGAATAGTTATTGTCAGTGTTGGTCTCTTTGAGTTTGTTTTCACGATCTGAATCCTAATGATATTAATATGTCTCTATACTATATTGAAATAGTCAATTAAGTCCTTCTACTTAGTAATCACTCAATTAGATACTCCAACTTTAAAAAACGTTCAAATCCTCCTTTTACTAGATAAATAAATGGTTAACCGGTCAATGTGCACATGTGGCGTATAGGTAACCAATTTTTCTTTTTCTTGTCTTCTACATTCTCTCTCCTTTGATTTCTTCTTCCATCCACCTCGCTAATGCTTAACAGCCAGGGTTGAGCACAACCCGATCTGAACCGAAAAACCCGACATTTTTCGGATATTATCCGATTGGATACGGGTATTCGACCCGAATAACTGAACCCGGAGAACCGATGAGAAATGGGCCTGGAATGGGTAGCGGGTAGGGTTTGTTTAATCCTAACCCGACCCGCCCGAATATCTGAACCCCTATACGACGTCGTTTCGTAGGGTATATATTCGCCCTTAATAGCCCTAACCCTATCCGCCTTCTTCATTCGTTATTCGATCTCTCCACTCTCTTCCGTCTTCTCTCTTCACTCTTCATCTTCAGACCTTACATTCTCCTCTCGTTTTGGTCTTCAATCCCGACCCTCGTCAGACGGTTTTCCGGTTAGTGTTAAGGTCTCAGACCTTCTCTGCTTTTCGGTCAGTCTGATCTCTCCACTTTGGCTGGTTGTGCCGTGTGCCACCATTCGAAGTCCGAAACCCTAATTGGTGGAATTTCTTACGTTAACTTGTAATATTAGTGTATCTCATCATGTCTGAGGTATTTCTATCATTCTACAGTTTTGTTGCGAATTTGTGATATATGTTTGCATTGATTTCATATCATTGTGACATTGTATGGTGAATTGGTGATTTGTGGAAGCTCATGTATTTGATTGTATAATGTTGTTGATGATGTTTAAACTGTAACATGTGATATTGAATTTGTGATGATGATGGTCATGTATTGAATTTTGATTCGTGTGTACTTATCAGTTATCTGTGCATTGTAAATGGTGGAAATGCATATGAGAATGATGAAGGAGCCTCGGCATACCCTAGGTCTGAATTTTGAATGGTGGCTATGCATATGTGGCATACTGGCATGTTAACTGCTTAAGTGCATATGTGACTCTGTTAATACTGTAAATCTGCCTAAGTTGTATGCCCTATCCTTCAATGTGCATATGAGAATCATGATGTAGCCTCAGTCTTAGCCTAGTTCTGAATTGTGAAATGTTTATATGCATATATCATATATGGCATGTTAAGTACTTAACTACTTAACTGTGACTTTGTGAGTATTTGAAATGTGCCTAAGTTGTATGTCTTATCTTTGAATATGCATATGAGAATAATGATGTAGCCTCAGGCTTAGCCTTGGTCTGAATTCTGAAAGGTTTATATGCATATATCATACTACCTCCGTTCTCTTTTAGTTGCAACGTTGGACTTTTTGCACTATTCACATATTCTACTTTGACTACATTTTATTAATTGATGTATTATAAATTAAATTTTTAAAAAATATTGTTAAATTCTTCTCATTCTAAATTTTCAAAATATGATTTTTTTTAAATTTTTTACTAATACGGAATGAAAGATATTAATGGTCAAACTTGTGCATTGGCAAACGTGAAATGTTGACTGTTGCAATTAAAAAGGAACGGAGGAAGTATATGGCATGTTAAGTACTTAAGTAGTTAACTGTGACCCTGTGAGTATTTGATACAGCGTATATTGTGGAAGCTAAAGGGTGAAAGGTAAATGAAATTTTGTATGATGATGCCTTGATTACAGAAGCTACCATTATGACTCTAACACTCAAAGGAATAGTAAGAGTCAATTGGTTCTTCTAAGTCTGTAGGGAAGAATTAAGCCTATTGCTTAACTTCTTCTGTAAATCAGCTTGCTGATTGTTCCAAACTTTATCTTTCTGAACTTGAACAATGAAAAATGGACCCTCATCCATCTGTGTTGACTATAATGTGGAAGCTTAAGGGTGGAAGATAAAATGTTGTATGATGAAGCATTGATTACCTGTTGTGTGATTCTTATTGATCATTTGTACCTTGATTACAAAAGCTACCATTGTGACTTAACACTCAAAGGAGTAGTAAGACTCAATTGGTTCTTCTAAGTCTGTAGGAAAGAATTAAGCCCACTGCTTGACTTCTTCTGTAAATCAGTTTGCTGATTGTTCCAGACTTCATCTTTCTGAACTTGAACAATGAAAAATGGACCCTCATCCATCCATCTGTACTTGCTATAATGTGGAAGCTTAAGGGTTGAAGCCTAATCTACCTATGTGTACTTAATTACTTATATAGATGGATGGTGAAGATAGTGTTGCCATGCATGTATCTGGTCAACCTCCTCTACGCCAGAAATCTGCGGTGAAAGCTCCCATTGTAGAGAATAATGATACCACTCAACAGACTGATACAACTGTTGTTTTTGGCCAAAAGAGGAAACAGGTTGAATCCAGGTCCAAGATAATGGGAACACTTTGTAAAGATTTTTTTATGCAAAGGGAGTTCTTGTTAAAGGGAAATGCATATCTTATGCAACAATATATTGTTGTCATTCAAAAAAACATGGCACCTCATCTATAAGAAACCACATGCTCAGTTGTCTGAAGAACACTCATTCTAAGGACACTAGGCAAACTCTCTTAACCTTCCAACCAATCACTGGTGCTAGTCCTAGTGAAGAACCTGCTGGGGTATTAGATACCTGGGTGTTTGACCAAACTGCAATTAGAAGAGCTCTTGCAGAAATGCATATAATTGATGAGCTTCCTTTTAGGTTTGTTGAGAGGCAGAGTTATAAAAGGTTTATGTCCATAGCTTGCCCTAGATTTAAGATCCCATCTAGGTGGACATTTACCAAATCTACTTAGATGAGAATTAAGATTAATTTGAAAAAGCTGTTTAGGGAGACAACATAGAGGGTAAGTATTACTACTGACACATGGACCTCTGTACAGAGGATCAACTACATGTGTATTACTGCTCATTACATAGACCACCAGTGGAAGCTTCAGAAAAAGATTATTTCCTTTGTCCAAGTTACTTCTCACAAAGGGGAGTACATTGCTAAGGCTCTTGAGAACTGTCTAGTGGGGGCTGAAAAACATATTCTCTATCGCTGTTGATAATGCAAGCAGCAATGATACAACAGTAGGCTTCTTCAAGAAAAAGCTTGCTTCTTGGGTGTTTCTGCTGTTAAACTGAAGTATCTCCACATGAGATGTATTGCCCACATTCTTAACCTGGCAGTTCAAGATGGCTTACAGCATTCTGACATTACTGTGTCTAAGGTTAGGGAAGCAGTTAAGTATGTTAGGAATTCTCCTTTGGATGCCCCCAATCTGTTTTGAACTGAAAAGAAGCAATCTGAACCAAATTTTATCTACTGTATTAATTGTGAAACTAGTTGTTCCCCTTTTGGTAATGATGAAAGTTTCCACCATATACTGTAATCAGATTGGGTTGGTATTAAATTTAGTTAGTGTTAAATTGGATTGGGCCTCTTAAGAGTGTATCTTTAGATGGCTTGAAACCTAGCACTAAATATTTTGGATGCCCCCAATCTGTTTTGAATTGAAAAGAAGCAATCTGAACCAATTGTGAAATTAAAATTTTCAATTACGAAATTAATTTATGGCATGTGATTATTCACACATTATTTCTTGACTACTTACCTTTTATGTGCAGGATTAAATGTTAAAGGGTATTGGAATGTATGCATCTAAGCTATGGACTTCAAGAAGTGTTTCTCATTTGTTACTAATGGTGTTTTTTTGACTACTTGCTCATTTTGTATGTGTTGTAATTTAAAACTACACTTCTATGGTTCTATCTCTTTTTGTTATGTTTGTAACTTAATACTACGTATGTTACAAATACTTGTGAAATATTGGTGGTAGTGTGTAATTTGAATGTGTGGTTTCAAGTTTGTACAATTTGTGTCAAATTGCTAATCCTAATCTTTAAGTACGCAATTTCAATGTGTTTTCATAAAACCGATTTAACCGAAACCCGATCTGATATCCGAAAAAGCTCGACTTAGGAATATCCGAAAAAATAAGGCTGAAAAACCCTAGGGTCGGGCTTACTATTTATATTAAATAATCAGAACGGGTTTAGGCTATCCAGACCCGACCCGCCCGAACCCGACCCGTGCACAGCCCTACTAACAGCAACGTAAATGGAGTCCCAAAATTCCTTGGAAATAGGGAGACAAGCGGTAAAAAGTAAAAACAAGAGACTAACTCGCCGCCAACAAATAGGGAGCAAACTCGTTGATGAATAGGGAATGCAAATGAACAGTCCTCTAGCAGACGAAGTCGTCGGCGAACTGGAAGCGGAGTCGTCGGTGAACAAAGAACGGAGAACAAGACCGGAGGTGACTCGGGGTTAGGATAATTCTTCTGTTAGAATTGACGGATAATTAACAATAAATATAAGAGCGTGAAATGTGGCTAGAGACCGGATATCACTTCTACTCACGTAAAATATACGTTTTCCTAAAAGTTTACTATCTACTCATATCACAGTAACCGGGTTACAAGATACTACCTCCGTCCTGAAAAGGTTCGCCGTATTGACTTTTCTTAGTCAATGATGGCGAACTTTGGATAATGATTTTACTTATTATATTTGTATAGGATTTATAAGTTTTATACTATTATGAAAATATTTTGAATAAGGAACATTTTGATATAATTTTCATACTCTAAATAATTTCTATCAAAATATATCATTGGTCAAAGTTGATTGTCAATGACCAAGAAAAGTCAATTTGACGAACCTTTTCGGGACAGAGGAAGTAGAACTTTTGGGATGAAAAAAGTGTTTGGTGTATTTTAGTTACTGATAAAATAACATCGAACAAATGATTTGTATATATAAAGTGGTCTAATTAGTTGATAAGACTGAAAAGACAAAAAATAGGGTAGCCAAACCAGTGAAGCAACTTTAGGTTTCACGACAATCATATGGCTCTACGTTTTGTGGTGAAGAAGGCTGGCGCCGCTCGTTGGTGTAAAAACTCGATATTTCCTCCATCTTTTAGGGGAACAACTTCATGCATCACTACCAGTCGCCATGAAGATTCCGGCGCGATGATGACGATTCGACGGCATCGCTGTAACTGCTGCACGGATCCTCCTTCAAAAACCGTCGACCTTACCACGAAAAATTACGATCCTCTGCTCTTCACCCTCCCCGCGTTCGAGAAGTACTACAACCAGCTCAAGGCTACTCTGGGGTTCGGAATCGATGTGGATCTGGGTGACTACCCGAATGTAATCCGGCCTTTCCATGGGCCCTTAGATTCTCCTGAGCTCACTACCCGTGCCCGTTTTGCTGTTCATCAACACAACATCTCAGACCAGAACGGTGCAGCCGTCCGGTTCGAGAAGGTGGTGAAAGCAAACAGATTGGGTGACCAGAAATACTTTCTGATTTTCCATGGCTTTGATGAGTCTCAGAAGAAGAAGAAAAGATACAGAGCTTTAGTAGAAGGTGATCAAGAAACCAATTTCCAGCTCAAAAGATTCGATCTTTACGGGGATGCTGATGAACCACTCGTTCTTTACCACACGCGGGTGAACTACTTGAACGGTTTTATAGTTATTGAAAACCCCAGTGATGATTTAATAAGTAAATATCGAAGAGTGGAGCACATATTCCCTAAAGATTACTTCAAGTATTGCAAACAAGTTAGAGCAAGTCAGGGGTTCGATGTTGATGATAATCTGGACCTGGGTGACCTTGAAGGAAGCATATTTCCAATGGATGCATCACGAATTGGTGATCCTGAAATCATAGAGTGTGCCCAGTATTCTGTGAAGGAGTATAACAGGCACCAGAAGGCAGGGCTGCAACTTGTGAGCGTGGAAAAGGGCACTCATCAGCTTTGGGATGTCGATTTTATGTACTACCTAACCTGTGAGGTAGATGGTGGTGGGCAGAGAAAAACGTTGCTTGCTCAAGTTTTTTATAGAGGGCTGGAAGGAGTGAAAAAGGTGACACTAATGGAGTATAGGCTTGTTGACAAGAACGGTGCCGTGATTAATCATTTCAAACGAATGCGTCAGGGTCCAAATCTGTCATGGTGCAAGGCCAAAGATCAAAACAATGTTTTTTATTTCCAAAATAGGAATAATTAATGAAGTTTGAAAAATACTGCCATGTTTGAAGTCTGGTACTATCAAAACATGACAGTAATTAGTCTTATTTTGTAAATAAAAACATGGCAGTCCTATTTTGGAATTTTCAAACTTTTTTTTATCCTATTTGGAGTAATATTCTCAAGATCAAATAGTGCTTTCTTTCTCTTCCAATTAGTCAATGAATTGAACCTTTTAGAGATGGCAACGGATGAGTTTGGGGCAAAGGTTCACTTCTTTGTCCTCGTCCCACGTCTAAAATGTTCTTCATCCCCTCTACTCCCAGACCCGTCCCGCCCATGCTCCACCCCGTTGTCCCCCACGAGTGCCCCATATAGATTTTATTGATCTTATTTGCATATTTTTTAGTCCATTTTATAGATAAATATAAATATATACTCCGTATACACTAAAAGTGGTAAACTAAATAATATTGTATTTGATAAAAGTGACTTCCGTCAATTTTTAATAATTATTTAAATTGAATAAGTAATGTGAAGGCAATAAAAGTAAAAATATGAGTAAACGTGTTATCATCATGTATTTTGTTACAAATTTCCCATCAATTATAATACAATTAATAAATACGGAGTACATTATACATAAATATGAATAAGTGTGATCTATTTACTCACTTTCTCACTTTTAAAACTCATATACGGAGTAACATCTATGATAAAGTATGTTTAATCATTACATATTATTATTCTGATATAATATGTATTACCACCTCTGTTCCAATTTGATAGTCCTATTTCATATTCACATGGCCAACACAAATCATTCTTAATCACCTACATTTTATATCAAGTTTTATTAAGGTTTTTGCGAATTTGTAAAACTTTTAATGTAGTTTCTGAATATGTAAATTTTATTTGTTACAAATAATTTGAGTGCGGACGGAGATTCTTTTGCTTTATCGCCAGTCAAGCCTCGTAAACCGCAACAGGACCATCAAATTGGGACGGAGGGAGTCATTAATTAATCATGACTAATACACATACATTTATATATTTCTATATGTGTTTGCTATATACTTTACTACATACAATTTAATTAAATATGTTTATACATTATTTATATATGTATGTATATTTGTATATATATGTATGTTTGAGTTTATATTTGGGAAAAGGTCAATTAAGACCTTCTACTATTATGAAATGGTCATATAAGACCATGTAGTCAATAAAGTGTCATATAAATACGTCTACCTATAAAAAGCAATCGAATGAGTCAAAATGACCTTTTGACAACCTCGTAATCCCGGTTTTAGCGTACATTTGACTATCTTTTTAAAATAGATTATATGATTGACGTGGAATATTTAGTTATGATTGACTTAAATACAAGATAAAAATAACGACATGTGAGCCAATGTCGTGATTAAGAGGTTGTCAACGGGTCATTAGGACTCATCCGATTATTTTTATAAGTAGATATATTTATATGACACTTTATTGAGTACAAGACCTTATGTGATGATTCCGTACTAGTAGGTCTTATTTGACCCTTTAAAACGGGGACGTGCCAGAGATGGGGCGGGTGTAGCAATCCCCGTCCCCTGCCCCATATTTTAGCGGTGTATAAATATCTCACTCATCCCCACCCCACCCTGCCCCAAACCCCACCCCATCCTCCCCCCACGGGGCGGTTCTCCACAGGCCCCACCCCCGCCCCCATTGCCATCCTTAGAGCCTTTCAGTTTAGGTGTAAGTTACTCCTATTTTAATTGGCCTGATTGGAGCAGATTATTTACAAGTCATGAAGAATGCAGCTAGCTGCACAATATGCAATAACCTAAAATGATAAATTAGGACTTTGCATATCAACAACATCAAAAAACTCGAAGAAACAAATAAAGAAAATCTAAAAGTTGAGTAACCATTTGCAACAAAAAGTGACAATAAAATAATCATAGAATTTTTGTGTAAATTAATTATTTAAATTTACTGTGATCGAAAATATGAATTTTATAAAACTGTTATTATTGATTTGGAAATTGGGGAAGTTGATTTTGTATGAACTATATATTTTGATTTGGGTTGAACCCAATTTTCAATTCTCCATACTATGCATATAATTTTAGTATCTATATTCAATACAGATATTTTGAAAAGGATTTTGATATTAAATGCTTTTGACTAAAGTATGAACAACATTTTCATAATTGTGAAGTGTCACACAAAGAAACTTGTGATTTTAGTGGGCTGGGGGCCCTTGGGGCTACTATTGCTTTGGTCTGGTTGGATTGAACTAGGAGTATTCCATCCCGGGCATTTGGATATTGACAACCTTTCTTTGGTCGTAGTAATAGTTTCTAATTCATTTTTAGGATTTATTCCTTTTTCTGGAGTAGTTGGTAGAAAATCTTGACTATTTGATTTTCTTAATAATGAGAGGCTTAGAATCCGTTTTAGTGGTGCGCACACTTAAAGTAGAAGTTCAGTTTCCAAATTGGTAATCGGTAGGATCCAGAACTCTTAGGTGAGTCGTGGGTGACATGTGACCTACGTACTCAGCCAGGCTAAAAGCCTAAAAATATGTTGAGTTATGTCCATCCTTTAAAAAGAATAGTTTTAGAATATAAATGGTTTTTTGAAATGAAATTGGATAACGTTTTTTGAAAGTGATATTTTTTCCTGTATGGTGTTTGAATTATTTTGAATCTTATAAAAGTCATTTTAATTATAACTATCATTTTTAAAATGTGAATTAGTTAATATATACAAATACTTTTTAGTTTAAAATGTTGATTTTAAACATGATTATGCTGAGTAATTTTTTGGGAGGTATGTGAATTTCGAAGAATGATTTTGAATACAAAAACTAATTCTGTGAAACTATATTATTTTACGGGGTTCATTAAATCTTACTTAGCTATAAAACAATTTTTTGGTTCCCTGTTACCCTTACATCAGTTACATGGCACCAGGGTGGTCCAGAACTGGCAAGAGTAAACCCCTGTAGGCCTGGACTCGGGCCGGTTCGGGCCTCGATTCAGGAAAGGGGAGGCCGGAGGCCTGGAACCGGCCCGGGTAACCCCCGGGTCCGGGCCGGGCCTCGTTTTTTTTTCTTTCTTTTCCTAATTAACCCCCCCCTCACCCCCAAACCACCTCAAATGGTCCAAAAGACCCAGCCCAACCCAAAAACTTAAAAAAATATTGGAAAAAAATAATTAAAATGGCCCGGACCGGGCCCGAACCCACCGGGCCGGTTCACGTTTTAGGGGGCCCGAGCCCGGACCGGAACCACCTCGGATCGGGCCAGGCCGGCGGTTCGGGCCGGTCAAACAGTAACGGGTTCGGGCCGGTTCCGGGGCGGGCCGCCCGGCCCGAGTCCAGGCCTACTCTTATGTATCCATCAAAATCTTGAAATAAAAAATAAATAAGACTAAAAATGCAAAAGCAACAAAACAGGATACTGTTGCAATACATTGTACAAAATCTACATATTAATCTCTCAATCTGACAGAGACTATTTATGATTGTATATTTGTATACATCTGATCTGATTCTATATCTCACAATTTACAAAAAGAACACAATACCCTAATTAATTGCAAAAACATTTTTAGCTGTAGAATCTGAATCAGACCGCCATTCCTTGAAAACCTGTACACCGTGTGCCTAAAGCTTAAAATGTTAATGACAACACATATTCCGCATGCCACTCCATATTTTAACAGAGAGCAGTCGGCCTGTTGAAATCCATACTTGGATCTTCTTTCTTCTATTGTATCTTTCAGCTAGATCACATGTGTGAAGAGATGGCAATGCCACATCCAACTTCTCCATAGTTTAAATGGATCCCTAGCTTGTGGGGTAACTATGGAAAGAGACAAACTCATTACTACAGACTTTGGTGTGTTAAAGTTAAGATGTGGGCTGTTATTCAGTGCTACACCATTTCTAGTACTTTAATACAGCCGGTGGAATTGGCGGCGACAACCATGTTTGATTTACGTCTCCAGCAGACGCTTGAAACAAACTGTCCTCTGTCATCATTAGTTTCTTTGCCAGAGATTGGGTCAATTGAGCCAAACTTGTAAGAAGTAATGGGCATGGGCTGTGATTTGTGATATGCAAATACCTGAGAAAGAAATAAGTGCCCTTCAAGATGAAAGTGGTTGTTTCGGGCGGAGACTTGATAAAAAATAGTAGCAAGAGAAATACATGTACTCAAAAACTGCAACTACATCTACTTATTTGCTTTTATTAAAAGGGTACTAAGTGCTAGTTTGGTAACCTTGTTTTTTTGGGCATATAAGGATGTTTCTAATTGGATCAAAAAAATTCTGATATGGTCTGGTAACCGTTGGGTGTGTGCGTATTTTATTATTGACAAAGTCTGGTCAGTTTTAAATATGGTTTGATCTGGGACTGAAACTAACTCAATTAAAAACACCGTAAGCCTTATATGCAAGATTTTTTACCCAATACTAATTTTTACTTCACGTGCTAATTTTAATAATGAAAATAAGATTGGATGTACTTTTACGGAAAAATTGACAGAAGATGGCAATTTTAGTTTTTTTTTTAAAATCTTTATATATTATCTTCCAAACAGGCTCTAATTAACACCTACAGACCTAATTATCTAAGCATTCCCTGAACCCCACCCACCCCCCAGGCCCCCACCCTCAAGAAATGAATTAAACAAATACGGAGTAGGAATCAAACGGGCTGCAAGCATTTATCGTGAATCAAAATAAAATGTGCAGATATTGTAAAGAGTGCAGATAGATGGGCTAATAAGAAAGCGATTCCTACCTCATTAGTCTCAGAGCCACACGAAATATATCCATTAACTGCAGACAATCCCACAAAGTTCTGAAAGACAAAGAAAACCACATACGTCCATTAAAAGGTATAATATATTGTTGTGTGATAAATATCATTTGAAGAAAGAACACACACACACACCAGCTAACCTTTTCATTGGTATGTCCTCCAAGGGTTAAGATGCAAGCATCGGTAGATGAAGAATTTGAACTGGCTTTGTTGAGATCCCAGATTTTAAGTGTGTTGTCCGTAGACGCAGAAACTAGAGTGTTGCCATCCAAGAATTTCACATAGCTAACAGCTTTCTCATGGCCAACCAATGTGTGGCAGGGAGTTGAAATATTTCGAAGATCATAGCAGTAGATCTTATAGTCGGCAGAGGTATAAGCCAGCATATGACTGGATTCTGGAGAAAACTGGACACAGCATACATTTGCACTGTTTTTTATTGTGCCGATGCTGTTCTTCTGCACCAACAAATAAAGAAGCTAGTTTATAAGCATCCTGCTAAAAGTTGGGAATATTGTACTCTAAAACTGAGGAACCAGAAGAAAGTGACATAGAAACAAGGAAAAGTTGGGAATATGCTGTTCCTACTTCAAATGTATTCTTATGTAGT